GCTATAAAACCAGTTTTGCCAACCAAAAGACTTAGGGGAAGACCTAAAAAGATAACTGTTCCCGCTTCTAATTCAGTAGTCTACTCCGGAAAAGACGAATCCTCGTTGGATTCCGAAAAAGAAAGACGTGATCTTACCAGAGTCACTTAATCGAATCAGAACTTAGAAGATAAAAACTTGAATCAAGAAAACACAGATACAACAGATGATACAGAAATTGCGAACGACGAAGATAATAGTTCCGATGAATCCTGTGACTCAGATGAACTATTTTATAATATGAATAGAAATATTGTAAAAATCCGCGATCCTTTACATAATTGTCACAATAATGTACTTTATTTTATAAGCTCAAATGGGCAACCTTGCGACGAAGGAGCGCGCGAGTTGATTAAATATCACAAACTAGTGTTAAATGAAACCTTGAAAGTCGGCGAAGTCTTAAAAAATAAAAAGAATAAAAAATATTACTATTTTGGTTTATGTATATGGGACGAAAACCCTGAATCCTTAACTCAAATTAGGGAAAATATCCTGTATACTTTAAATATTCTGAAAGTCTTGTTAATTAGTTTGGGCCAAACAGAGATTTGTATTGTTAAATCGGAATCTATAGCGAATTTACAATGGATAGAGTGTATAAATCTAATCGATGAAATATGTCATAGAACCGGGATTATAATCATAATTTGTTTAGGAACCGTAAAGTACGTGCCCAAAGAAAAACGAGACGAAATCTTTTACGAATTGCATAAATCTCCTGTAGGTGGCCACCGCGGTGTCTCGAAAACGTTTTATCGTATAAGACAACAATACTATTGGGAAAACTTAAAAGATGATATCCAACGACGTATCCAACAATGTCTCGAATGCCAGCTTAAAAAGCTCACCCGCTTGCAAACGAAACAACCTATGATAATAACAGATACGTGTGCCTCGGTTTTCGATAAAATAGCAATGGATATAGAGGACCGCTAAAAAGAATCCCTAAAGGATGTGAATATATTTTAACACTATAAGATCACCTAAGTAAATTCTGTCTAGCTGTAGTTTGTATGACACTACCTCTAGCTCTATTGCCGATGCCTTTATTAAAAAATTTATTTGTGTTTTTGGATGCCCTAAATCGGTTCTGACTGACCAAGGAAAAAACTTTCTAAGTCAATTAATGACACGGGTTGCTAAAAGATTTAAGATAAAAACATTAAGAACTACAGCTTTCCGAACTTAATCAAATGGCTCGTTAGAACGTTCCCATCATGTGCTTGCAGAATTCCTAAAACAATATATGGAAGCTGACAACAATTGGGACGACTGGCTTGACCTAGCCATGCTCAATTATAATACTTGTGTGCAAGAAAGCACCAAGCACACTCCCTACGAAGTAGTATTTGGTTGCCTAGCGCGCCTACCTTCAAGTAACCTGTTACGGGAAGGAGATATTCTACCAAGCTATAAAGGTTACATTACTGATCTGGTCACCCGATTGAACGGGATACAAAAACTAGCTTACGATAATTTAATTACATCCAAAGAAAAATCTAAAAGGTATTATGACCAACACACTAATCCAAAGAATTTTAAAATAGGTGATTTTGTATTCTTAAAATCGGGACTTAAGCCTGGCAAGTTTGGCAATCATTATTCCGGACCATTTAAAATTGTTGGAATGTTACCTAACCACAATATAAAAATCGAAGTCAAAAATACGACAAAAATTGTCCACGCGAATCAATTAAGAATATCACACATTAATCAATCTACCCCTATAAAAAAAAATAATAATAGGAATCTTACCGAAAAACAATGTCAAAATACAAATAAAAAAAAAGGAACCAAAGTAGTTCACGCGAACAGGCTCAGAATATCGTATATTAATAATAATAATAATTCATAGAAAAAAAAATAATATATAAAAAGGGTAGAAAACTAGAGAACACAAATAAATAAATATAAATCTAATGAACAATATCTTTTCCAGTAAAATAATAGTAATAAAATAATTAATAATAATAAATAGAAACAAACATACCAAATTAATCATTTGTTTTCCCTTTCAGTAATTAATAGTTAACACAAGAATTAACATTATTTATTTTTCAGAAAATGGATATGAATAAATTTGGATTCTACATACTAATTTTATCTACCATTCCATATCAAGGCCAAGCCCTCATGGGATACGATTGCGGAGCGCGATCGTTAAACATCACCACTGTTTCTTTGCTTGGTGTAGAAGAATGCGATATACCTCCCGGAAAAATTTGCGAGAGGGGACACCGTGCGCCTTGGTCTGGTCTCTGCTAATTTTTCTGGGTTCTTTCTCGGAAAAGAAAACCGGCGCTGACTTTCACAGGCCGAAGTTCGCTCCGATTCGGGAGGTTGATACAAATAATCGAACACTTTAATTCTCTTATATTACATATGGCGATCCCATTTATTGACGCCTTTTCATAAATATCGCTACAAGATCTACTTAACCGCAGTGAGCGCGCTCGCTCAACCTTTCCGCGACCAGAGTTCGCGGGATCACGCGAGCGAGATCGCTCAGCGTGCGCGATAAATTTCTCACAATACGCTAATGTCTGTAATCGAGCGAGAGCTGGCGCGAGAGAGATAAACTGGTCTTAGACCCACCGGATGCCGACGGTCCGTCGGTAGAGAGGCGACGCCGGCGAAAGCGTAGAACCGCCGGAAACGGTGCCCTGGCGACGGTTGAGGTTGCTGCAGGAAGGGCCGCAGTACGGCCTTTGCCCGTGGACGGCGAATGGTCGCTGCTTGTCCGGGCTCAGCTTTGAACACCTGGTTCCCCTGGCAAGTGGCAGTCGCACTCCTGGCAGTAGTTCCTCTCCTGCCGGAATCTTGTCTCCATCAGTCTCTCCTTAGGCGGCCCTAATTACTCGAGAGCTCGCGCCTAACTGCCCTTCCTCTCTCTTAATTTTCAAAGCCTCGCGTCGCCGCGCTCCCACTTCTCTCGCCGTCAAAAATCAGTCAAAATCGCTCTTTCTCTCTCTCTCTCGCCCTTCTCGCTCTCACTCGCACTCACGGCGACACCTCGCCGATCGTCGCGCTCCTCTCTCCAGATCCTGCAACGACACAAGTATGTAGTCGCCATATAACGTACACTTGATCGCTACACTCGTGCGAGGAGAGTGCCGCACACAGGGCTAGCGAACATCGCTATACCCTGTCACAAATTAATAGCACTCAGATCCATGTACAGTTATTACAGTTAAATCAATTCGAGGAAGTACACGTGATACAATGCAAGATACAACTACAACGTCATATTTATCATTGTGGAATGCATTCCCATAGCTCGGCTGTTAAAGATGGAATACACGAATATATGGTCGAGGTCAGCTAAAAACGCTGTTCAGACTTGTATAATAGCGGTACATTACATTTCGATGAAATACGTGTATTACGCGATATTAAAGTTAACCAGAACATAATCCGACCATTAATACTAGCTGATAGTTTAAAAACCGATGGTAGTTGCAACGGTGGTGTATATTCTGATGCATATGGTACCTGGGAGAATGTTGTTGTCCAAAGTTTGGTAAAAATAACTGTGCAAGATTATACTGCACCAGTTGACTTAAATAACGATCAATTAAGACTACGCTCAGGTATCAAATGTACATTAACCGAAGAAACATGTATAGACCCGGAAGGAGGTAATACCTTCTGGAAAACGATACCACGAGACATATGTAAATTCAATCATTACGGGATATTATATGAAGGCATAGCCAACAAAATAGTAGACGAACACCAAAACCGCATCTATTGATTAATTAATAAGATTATACTTTATTACTTATTTTCAATATAAATTATATACTTATAATTATTTGTAATACTTATTTTCAATACAAATTATAATCAACTGTAATTGCGAAAAAAACCTACCATATCTCTAGCACTAAATAACTTGTAAGTTATCAAGGTTATACAAAAAATAATTTTTAAGTTATTGTAAACCCGCTTACTGGATAAATCTTGGTTGAGAACGGTACTCGAGGAGCCATCTCGCGAGCCAAGGCCTGTACCTTTGCGTCCGCTCCCCCGATTTTCTCCACGCCCCCGCTCCAATTAGGGCCCGAAAACCCAGTGAGGAAAATGGGAAGAGACAAACGAGCCAATGAACGCATCATCGCTTGCTCCACTTCTCCCAAAACCAAGACGCTAGGAGAGGGATTTACCACCCAGCCACCCCCAGTGTATAAAAAGAGATGTACGAGCCTCGAGCGACAGTTGTGGAGAAAAAAATCAGAGAGTGAAAAAAAAGGATCACGGAGAAGAAAGTCCAACATTGTGCTACCAGTGAAGGAGCAGAGAACCAAGCAGACAAACAACAGAAAAAAAACCAGGAATAGGACAAGGAGAAATCGTCCAGCACCAAACTCGCCAATACTTCATAATAAAAAAAAAAGACAGTAAGCAAAAAAGAAAAATCATTTATTTCTTATCTTTTATCTCTCTTTCCTCTAGTGAAGAAATAGCTCGTACTTCCCTTTCCCTTTAATTCATATCTGGAGACTATTTTTGATAGGCTCCAGGTATTAAAATTGTTGGGAAAACCCGGGTACTACTATTGATAGGATCCGTGGTGCTTCTCGCTCAAAGATTACGACTTTCGATCGGAATCTGAGAGCAGAAGTGTAGGCTCTGTGGCACTATCCCCTTCGATTTAGACAATTTCTTGACGAGTGATCCACGCCAGTTTAGGCGAGAAATCACAGTTCTGGCGACAACGAAACCTGAGATTGCGCTAAGCCTCAGGCGCACCTGAGCTGTGTCGTTGCCACGACGCGACGTCACACTATTTTTGCTGTGTGACATTTGAATACGCTTTGTATTTGTTTATTGCAAAACTATTCGTGATTTATAATAGTAAGTTAAATTTCGCTAAGTATACATTAATTAATAAGTATAATAAGTATAATAATCGAATGTAAATTCGATATCAGCGTATCGCAATTGACTGAGAAAGGTCTTTTATTCATTAAAAAACTTTGAAGTTACAAATTTTACACAGAAAAAAATAGATTTTCCATAGATGTAACGTCATGCTCCTTATATGGTAATGACTTTGATTAAGTGACTTAACACATCTAAACGTATGTTTCAGATAGTACTTTAGCTTTAATATCACTTTTTCTCATTGTCGGGCATATGGCGGGTCACCGTCACGCAGTGAGAAAACAAAAAAAGAACAGATTAGAGCGGACCGTCACATATATAGTTACATATATAGTGTTTTATTTGGAGTTACTTGTTATAAAAATTTATATATTTCTAATTTTCAACAAAATTTAGAGATAATATAGTAATTTAGCCATTTTTCAAATTTTAATGAACAAAGATACAAAAACTTTTAGAAGAGCGATTTAATTTTTCTGTTACTGACTTTAATTAGTATACAACTATTTATTGCAATTGATGACTTCGGGATAGATTAAGTTGTTTATTGTTTAATGATAAATCGATGCATCATTTAAGTTTTGTAAGTCTAAAATTAATCTCTGTATAATTTTTTCCTCTGACATTCTTAGTTGCACAGCAACTGTCTTACAAGGTCGCGTATCTGCTTCTATTTTTTGAGTATTTTCCTGAAACAGAAATGCATAAATTAATTAAATCAGATAGTAAAATTAAAAGAATCTATTAATCTTTTGATATTTCTCAAAAGTATTTATTAAGCTCAAATATAAAAATAAACTTTCAGTTTGAAGATTCGGTGTACAATATTATCAACATCTAGCCCGTAAAAATAACATGCGAGAATTCCGATTACTTGATTAATTGATCAAGATGTGGAGCATAATGGATTGGTTTTTGATATTTCCATTCATTAAAAAAATGTGTAAGTAGCTAAAAATTTCAACAAATTATCTATTAATCGTCAAGATACGAGGTGTGATAGACAGGTTATTTAAAGAGTTTTAAATAACCAGTCTATTATTAATTTTTAATAACCTGCCTAAGATGACAACGGTGAGACTTCATGTTTTGATATACAACTTAATTCTTTTAGGGATATATTTTTCTGCAACATCTACCCCATACGAGTATATAAGCCTCTAGAAGAATTTTTAAGGTAATTAACTTTACAGGCCAATGTTCAAAAAATGTAGAAATGCGATAGTAAATTTCTGAACGTATTTGATGCGCTGATTCCGAATTCGGCGTTATAGTTGATCCACCCCACCTGAGGTTCTCGAGATATTCTAAACTAAAAGTATGAAAATTACGATTATTTTCTATGTTCGAGGTTATATAATACTGATTACTATAATTTCTTTTGCAAATACCAGTAAAACAACCACATAGCAGTAATTTTGCTTTTTAAAACCCATTTATTTGGCTTAAAGATATCCTTATTATCCTTGAAATTCAATGATAGATCTTAAGTATTTCAGCAATTTCGAAAAAATATTCAAATTACAGGTTACAGAAATAGGGGATTAAGGCAATTGGAATTCAGGAGTCTGGGGTTATACGAGGTTTGTCCGGAAAGCATCAAGCTAACCTTTATATTTTCGTGCCATAGTGTTCGAGCGATCTCTGTGGGGCATAAACGTCAACAGTAAAGCCTTATGAAACAAATGATTACTTGCTGATATTTTTCAGTCGTATAGTTCATGCGCAGCGTGTCTTTGTTTACAAAGATATTTTTGAGTTTGGCGGATTTTGTAATTGTTGAAAATGTCTAAAAAATATAATCAACAAATTGGCATCAAATTTTTTTTTCAACTTGGAAAAACATATACGGAAACTATTCAGATGATGCAGAAGGAACCGAGTGTATGAAAAGACAAATAAAAAAGTGGTATAATCGTTTCAAAGGAGACTGCACTTCTGTTGATAGTAATTCTTGTTCTGACCAACCTTTGACAATAATAGCATTCGATAATATCAAGCAGGTGTTACTTTCGATTGAAAAAGATCGTTGTATGACTGTACAAGAACCAGAAGAAGACTTTGAAGTGCCAGAAACTATAATTTAAGAAATGTCAACCTCACATTTACAAATAAAACGTATAGGTGTCAAGTTCATTCCTAAAGTACTCAGTTCAGAGCAAAGAAAGCATCACTGTACTTAAAAAGTTATTATTGGTGCTGAATCATGAGTTTATCGTTATAATCATGAACGAAAACAATAGTATTCACACTGGAAATATTCTAGATCGCCAAGAGCAAAAAAAAAATACGTCAATGTCGGAGCAATGTTTCGTCAATGTTAATTCTTTTTTTTTTATTGTAAAGTGTTATACACGATGAATGTGCATCAATAGGTCAGACAATCAATGAAGAATTTTATATTTAAATTTTGAAATGCTTGCGTGAAGTAGTTAGAAAATTAGAAGAAAACGCCCGCTCTTTTGGTGAAGTGGTGATTGACTTCTCCATCACGATAATACGCCGACACATCCATCAAATCTTATGCAGCAGTTTCAGAGTAAACACGATATCGTATTGCTTCGACAACCTCTGTACAGTCCCGACATAGCCTCTATTATTTTTACTGTTTCCAAAACTCAAAAAACTACTCAAAGGATAAAGATTCAATGAAAAACCGATGGTTCAAAATAATCTAATAAGCCAAGGTCATCTTTAAAAGTGAGTTTCAGAATAATTTGTGTTTATGTTTTAACGAAAGCACGTTCGTTAGCAATGTTAAAGGTGGACAAGTGAGGCGCACTCACTCATAGCAATTAAGGCAGGGGAACAGGGGGGAGGAAAGGCAAAGAAATGAAAGTAATTAAAAATTACACACAAAATCACACTTAAACTTCAAATATCGCAAATGAACAAAACGTATAATTATACTTATAACCAGCTATACAAACTCTTAACCTAATGAACACAATGGTGTTACAAATACGTCTTAACACTACAGAACACAACGGTGTTCTTAACACTTATTACAATAGTAGAACAAAGAACAAATTACCTAATCTAACGCGCTTACAAATCTAACAGACATACAGCACGTGTCGCCCGGCAGGTGACCGCCATGACGACGAACCGACTTAGCCTACTTAAACTAAAAGAGAAAGCCGCCCGACGAGGGATCGCTTTGACGGTACTCTACCTGAACAAATTTATGACGCCGACTGTAATTAAGGCAGGTAGCCGGCGCGTGCGCTCCTTGCTACCTACCTGATTCTTACGATTACACGCTGTGCCATACCGTTGAAGAGAGAGAGAGAGAGAGAAATATTACGAGCCTTGACTTATCGATGTAGGAACGGGAGGCCTGGCTGCGCCCTGCGGATGGTGTTGTTGGCCGTCGCTGGGCAACTCTTGCCAGCTCCTCCGGGTAGCGTCCCAAGAAGATGCTGGAAAAGTCCTCGGTTTTGTTCTCGGCTTCTTTACAGCTTCTTGGCGGCGTGTGCGTTCGGCTGACCTTTGTACTCTCGACTGCACTCTCAACTCTGCACCGCTGACTGACTAAACCATCTTGACCGCTAATCGACTTAAAACCTTCTGTCTCGCTGATCGAACAAGCGCAACGCTTGCTCTTGTCACAATGTGGTAAAAGATGACAAGGGTCGGAAGTTAAGGTAATTGCAGTTCGAGAATTTGAGATTACACGGTCACAAGTTACAAGGATTAAGGCAATTAAGGTTCAAAGATTAAAGTTCTTAACTTCAATCAATGATATCTTGATGAAAAAAAGATAACTCTAAACTGAAAAATGGGCTTTAATGGACAAAACTGCAGCTTTGTCATGACTATTATTTTTGAAAACAACATTTATTCACGGTGTCACATAATCTCAAACATAGCAAAATATCGTGATTTTCACACTTTTAGGTTGGAATATCTTACGAACCTTGTGACGGAGAATCACGGCTCGACCGTTGCTCTCCGCCGGGCTCTCACCGATTCCCCGTGTGCCTCGCCGAGCGGGGAGAGTGCGCCAGTTGAGCACACTCTAATTACTCCGTCTCGCTCTTTTCTTTTGAGGTGCGACGGCAACGGCGGCGATTGGAGGGAGCCAACGAGGAGAGCGTAACGAGAGAGAGAGAGACAGAAGATAGGGGAAAGCCGGCGAGTCGCGGGCAGGCCTGCGCGCGCATCTCGCCGGCTTGAGGAGAGGAGATCGGCAGTGTCTGCTGAAAAGTCGTACGATCCGCCGCGCGCACACAAATTTTCCGAATTACCTGTTTTTTGCCTGTGAGTTCCCGCGCCCTCGCCGAAGATTCGAGATATATGTGATACGTGCCCGGTGCGCGGAGTGTTTCGTTTGAAGTTTCTTATAAATTACGAAGCCGGCACCGGTGCACGTGGGCGACCGGCGAGGTGACGCGGGCGTGTGCGCGCGTGCGGCCATCTTGGTGAGCTGGTGAGTGCGAGTCTCGCGCCGATTTGTTTAGCTGGGCGAAACGAAGCACAACGCGACACACATATACACGCACACGCACACTCCTCGCAACCACAGCAGACGAACACATTTGGAACATACTAACAACAGCCACAACAATAGCAATAAACGTAGCAGTAACAACAACGATAACAACAACAGTAATTTACCAACATTAACAACGACACCAACATTCACAATCGACAACAACACCGTAGCAAGTGACGAGGGAGAAACGAGGATACAAAGGAGAGCGATTGCCTAGATATCTTAATTGTATTTGCAGAGCATTTTGGGAGACGAGCATAGGAGTACCGAGGCGGACAACGCAGCTAACGCGAGGCAAGGTCGGTGTAGTGTTTTCTCTTTCTCTCTCTCTCTCTGTCCGAGGCGTCGAATAAACACCTCGCAGTTCGGCAGCCCTGCCGATTGCGAGGTCGTTCATAATTGTGTCCCGGGCCGTCTATTTTATTTTATTTTATTGTAATTTTCTCTTTTGTACTTCGGTTTTCTTTAATTTGTAGTTTCGCTTTATTTTATGATTTTCTCTTTATTTGTATTTCTTTGTATTTCTTTGCTTATTCGCCTTAATGATTTTGTAATTTCTTTTTCTTTGTATTTTCTTTATTTCATTTTGTTAACCGATTATTTGATTTGATTCGATTATTTAATTTTATGTTGGCTTTAGTTACTCTTTTATTTTGTCATTAATACAATTACTATTAAAGCTCGTTGTCACACTTACTTCCGCCCCTTTCTTTTTTCTCCCTTACCTATGTCGTCACTCCCATCCTGAATATAACGGTTCGCGTACGATTAACGCGCGTGCTCGGCGCGTTATTTAACCGCGGGAACGATCTTTGCTTCCCGAATCCCCGAATAAATAATTTGTACGGACAGTCACGAGCCATCCGTTGAGGGACGACTGGATTTCACCGTTACAACCTTAAATGATAGATCAATTTTGAAACCAGATTCCGATTGAGCCCTTCGAAAACTTTCGGTATCATACTATCTCGTTTTTAGATTTGTTCGATACTGAAATTTTTTTAGCCTATTTTATTCATTGTAAGTCATATTTTTTAAATAAAAATAGTGGATCTAATATAGCGGATGGAGTTTTTTAAATTATACCACTACATTTGTTTCTCCAGTTTGCACTTGATCCTTGAGATGAACAAACGTATTGAAACTATGTCTACCCGTAAAAAACTATAGTATTAGCAAATGAAGTAGCAT